TTTGTAAACAGAGCTTGGATTTTCTGGCACTCCATCCATAGAGACTTTTGGACACTAACACTCCAAAATCAATTACAGAAAAGCATCCGATGGTTCTCTTCTACAGCATTTAGAGTAACACTATCCCATATTAAAATGACTATGCACAAACTTCAGTTTACTGAACATACAGTTCAGTAATGTACTGAAATACAGTTACTACAGTATAATACCTGCACATTAATAGCACACCCGTATAATTAATGCTGATACTTGTATAGCTTTCAAAAATCCAGTGAGTCATTAATGCAGAGAATCATTAATAACAATATACATAGATGCATATTCACCAAAAGAATCAATCTGCTTACCAAACATTTTCTTAGCTTTTAATCAAATACTGGATAAGGCTGAAAGATGAAGAAGCTGTTCAATCTTCATAGAGCACACTATAAAAGTATTTTCTTTTAATTTACAAAAATTAAAAAGCCAAGAAAATTTCCTTAATAAATGTACTGCCCTTTGTTTACAATCCATTATCTGATCTTAATCATGTTCTTCTTCTTCTCTTCCACAGTTAGCATGAAGAGAAAGTCAAGTCAGAAAAAAAGCACAATTAACTTAAAGGCCTGTAGCTGTTCTGTCTTACAAGCTATTTTCTAGTTCAGATTTTAAATGTGTTAGAAACAACTTTGGAGACACACAAAGAACAGGCAAAACTTAAGTGTAAACATCTGAATTAATCTACTGAAGCAGAATTTGCAACAAATAAGCACCTATAAAACAGGCACTGTTTTACAGAAACTCACATTTCATTTCAATGGTACTTAGGAAAGCTTACATTTGAGAAAAAGCCTATTTGCTCCTTTTTGTGCTAAACACATTAAACAATTGCTGTGTTGTAAGCACATACTTTATAATAAGAAAACAACACCAAAAGATAAGTTGCATAAGTACATTTGTTTATCTCTTAACTTCAGTTCAAGTTCTGCTTTGGTCACAAGCGTAAAAGAGTCTAGTGATCTCATCTCCGTGCCTACAAGGGATGTTTGTGCCCATTACAAAACTAGCACACAATCCGACAGTCTCTTCCGTAAAGAAGAGAAATACATGATTAGCAGGAAGCATGTCTGCCAGGAATGAGACAGTGACTGAGCTGCTGAAGATATTAAGATGGACTCCTGCCAACAATACAAATAACATTTTCAAGAGCATGAAGCTTGTCCGGGAAAAAATTACAAATAACAGGAGTAATAAAAAGAGCCACCTGCATCTGGATACCTGAACAAAGCAGAAGGGATATTGTATTACAGCTGCATTTTCTTGCACAATGTTTTGAAGTTTTATCTTAGGGCTCTAGCAAAAAAATATATAAACAGTGTCCATGGAATGGATTTGATGATGTACACCAAAGTCTGAATACATTTTTTGAACAAGTTTTAATGACAGAAAATAGTTCAAGCTCTGTAACATGGTGCTGGCACGAAGAGTTCACCTGAACCATAAACTCCGAATGGTTTCCTTAGCAGAGCTGCTGAGGTAAAGAGAAAAAGTTGGCCTCCAAAGCTATCACATAAGCACGTCCTTCACAAAATTCCCTGGTCTATGTATTTTGAAAAACAACTGAAACATTACACACAAAAACACACACTCACACCAAAAAACTAATCACAGAAAAACTTTAATCCCGTACACAACGGAGAAGAGAAAAAGAAGACTGTTAGAAATGATTTGCCTACTCTCCCAAACCTGAATATTTGGTAGAAAAAAGGCTTTGTAAGTATTATCATCAATTTTTACTTGCAGACCTTGCATATCCTGAAATCCTGATTGTTTGAGAAGCCAGTTAGAAGCATTTTGTCTGTTTTCTATACCTAGAAGAAACAGGCAAGCATATTTAAGCAAACGCCCAAATCAAAACAGGGAAAAGATATCCTTCCTAAAAATCTCTGGGAATCTCTTGAGAAGTGCTTAAGAATCCTTCTGAACATTTAGACAAATGTCGAGTTGAGTGATAGTAGAAAGAGCAAGGATAAACAAGTAATTCTATCTGCTTAAATGCATAGTTTAAAATTCCATTAGCTTAAAAGCATTCATAAAATCTATATTTAGTATCTTAACAATTTGTTCAACACAGGCAATTTTTTGCCCCAATCACCCAGCTCTTCCTTCAAAAGAACTTTCTCAGGACAGCAGTCTCATAATCTAGATTTAGTTACTGACCAGATGCCTGAGTTTAAATTCACTAAAAGCAGAACAGAGCTTATTTCCTAAAAGGTTCCTAAATGGAGGGGAGGGAAGAACCAGAAGTTGCTTTTATCAGGTGCATGGTTGCCATGCCTCCTTCCCAATTCCACTCCTGAGATCACTGAATGAAACAGAACTGCAGCAGAATTTAACAACAGCAGGTTGATTAGGACAAGACAACAAATGCACAAGCTACTCAGACGGATCATGACAGGATGTTGTCCATAATACACCACATTTTTACATTTCCTGAGACAGCCCTTACAGAGCAGATGAGATGTGGCTGTGACCCTCTTCTGCTTGAAATCATCAGGCAGAACATTTTTATTCACAAAAGCATTTTGACTCTCAAGCTGTTTTGCTGAAATTTTCTTTTTTTTTTTTTTGAGCAATGACTGGTCACAGCATATCATCCTTCTTTCCAGAACTATCCATAAGATGCAAGCCTACTTTCCTAGAAATGAAAGCTGCAACTTTCCTTCCACCTTCCTTTCTGTAGAAGTCTTGCAAATTTAACACATCACTGTGCTTCATGAGAAACTATGAATTTTATATAAGATGAAGAAACTTAGTGTTTTTATAAAACTGCATTTTTGTTGAATCTGAAACTCAAAAAAATTACTATAGGATGCTTTCAATTGTCAGGTGGAAATCACACAGTAAGAGCCACAAAGTGACCATGTCCCAATTACAATAAAACGCTCTGCTCTCAGATCACAAGACACAAGCAGCTGTCTCACACTGAAGTTTCACAACAGCAGGACTAACACACGCTCCCTGTTAAAACATACATACAGAAACCCTGTACAGTCATGGATAAAAAAATAAATTGTGAGACACTTTTAATCACATACCGTCCACACCTCTCCTACCACAAACAAAATTCAGATCACACTGATGTTTCCTCAGTTTTTGTTTCCATTAAATGCTTTAATATTCCTCTCACTCTAGCAGACCCTCTCACTTCAGAGTAAATACTCATTCATGCTAATGTGATAATTGTACATTTTTTTCATGGATTACTACATTTGAGATCTCCTGCTCCGTGGATTCTCCTCTATCCTAACATTTTTATTTACTGTGCTATTCAAAGATACTACAGATAGTTCTGTTCACAAGTTAACCTTGACACAAATTCTTCTTGTAACTTGTTTTCTCTGTAACCTTATGTTGAATAGACAATCACAAGCATGTGCCATATTTTGTCTGAAAGACTCCCACTGTGAAATAAAAGCCGCATCTAACCCTTTCAAAGGCTCTTCAGAGACATTTCTAAAGTAATAAGATCCCTAGATGTCAATTTAAGTTAAATTTCACTTCAAATTATCATATAGTTTAAGAACAGGTTTATTATCATTTCATCGTGATTTCAGACAAATTTGTTTGACAGAGAAACAACTTACATAATTGTATGGTTTATTTAATGTTTAGGACAATAGGAAACTGATGTCCTCTGAAGTATCCTTACACAGGAATTTGAAACAGATTAGTAATTTTATAAATACAGGTTTACAAATAAGATGCTTGCAAGCCTATGTTCAAGGAGAAGATAAAGATTTATTACTTAATCTTTGAAAGACCTCTCTCACTCTTCTCAATAAAAAAAAGCATCCCACAGAAGGAATGCTGCAAACCAAACACCACAATTAGCATACTCATATTATTTGGCTCTATGTATTATCCATACACTTATCTAGTCATCCATTTTACCATACCAACCCCCTTTCCATCCATTTTCATCCCAATCAAAACTACTGACTGTAAAAATTCTGACACCATATACTGCCAGCCCACTAACACAAACTGGCTTTTATACATTTTCTGCTAAGACTTCCTAGTCTTTTGAACATTCTGGGTCTTAACAAATTCAGACTAAAGCTTTCTTACCCAATTCAGTAACTTGCCGATCAAAAGGACAGCGGACGGCCCTGCCATGAAGGGGAAGCCGGGTGAGGCAGTCATGGCAGACGGTATGGCCACACAGAAGCAGTCGAGGAACTTTATCGCCTTGCAAAGAGAACACATCTTCACAGACTCCACACTCAAGAACCTACGATTTCAGAAAACATACCATCTGTTTCTAGGCTGAGGGGGAAAAAAACAAACGGAAGCAGCACGCAGCAGCCCTCCCCAGAGAAGCTGGGACACAGCTGTCATTTGACCGCCTCCCGCCTCGCAGCCGCTCACCGGAGCCCCGCGGTGAGGTGGAAACGCAGCGAGGCCCTCCCGCAGCGGTGTTCCGGCGCGACCCAGCCCACCGCCTCAGGGAAACCCTGCCGCCCCGGAGAGCCCTCGCTACACCTCTCGCCGAGCCCAGCAAGGGCAGACCGCAAGCCGGAGAGCGCCAAACAGCCCGTCTCACCTTCACGGCGGCGCCGGTTGGGCCCCGGTTATTACTAGCTCCACGGCTGCCGTCCGGCCCGGTCCCAGCCTTGTTTACAGCCAGGGCCGCCATCTTTGAAGGGCGGAGCACAGCGGGCCACAGAAAAAAAAACCGCCTTAACGCGCGCACGGCAGGGGTGGGACTGCGCGCTTCCTCCGACCAAGCGGCAAAGAACTGCGCTTCCCGTCGTGCTCCGCGGGACTGCCGCTTCGGGAAGCTCTCGAGGACTATCCGTCGCAGCAGGCATCGCCTGCTGGGCGCCCGCGGGGCCCGCCTTCCTGCGAGGAGGGGCTGAGCAGTTGGTGGCGCCGTGGCGGTGCCGGGCGGGGTGTGTCCTGGACAGCTGCTTCCGGGTTCGGAGGTGCCCGCTCTGCTGCGCCGTGCGTGCGCACTTCTACCGTGGTTGGGGCGCTCGGGGCTCGCGGCTGCACCATGGACATTAACCAGCCCAAGCAGGAGCACCTGCTGGCCTTGAAAGGTACGGGCGCCTTGCCTGGCCGGGCCCTCAGGGCCGCTCTCACCCGGCCGGTTCCTGAGCGTGGGAAGTGCTGAGGGCCGAGCTGCTTTCCCCCGGGTCAGGGGAGGACTGCGGAAGGACGGGGCGCGCCGCGTGACCGCGTCTCGCTGCGGGGAGCGGGCGGGCGGAGGACGGGGCTGCGCGCCGGGCCTGGCGGGGCGCTCCGGGCTCTGCGCTGTATTTGCTGTTTGCAGACAGGCTTCAGCAGTTCTAACTTTTTTTTTAATTGATTTAAGATTTTCTTTGTAGTCCCCTGATTTTTTTTTTTTTTTTTCCTTTAATGGCTTTTTCCCTCGGTGAACAGCCGTTGGCTTGCATTTTTGATTCAGGAAACACGGGTATTGAGAGAAAAAAACTAGTAGTTCTTACAGAGCTAGAGCTGATTGAAACAAAAATAATCGATAGGTTTCTATAAAAAAAGCTGGTTGTGCCAACAGGCACTTGGGTACCATCAGGTTAGGAGCTGAAGCAGTGAAAAACCTGAATCTTGCTGCCTCTTATTGCAGTCAGCAGAAGTATCCACCTTCTTTTTCTCGAACAGTGCTTGTTGGAAATAAGCATTGCTATTGAGGTGGAATAGGGAACAGTTAAAACCTTAATTACACGTGTATTTTAAGTGAGTGAGATGGCTCAGTTATGTAAAGCAGTGCAGGTGCATAGATGATGTTAGACTCCATCTTCTGTTTGTTTAATTGCTTCACAGTGTTTTTTGAGAGTTTTCAGCATCTCACAGTAAAATGTATTAACCATAATTCAGAGATCAGCAACCACTTTTTCATACATGTGCACAGACAACAGCTAAGCCAAAACGTAAGAACATGGAATACTGTCAGCTGCCATTATCAGAACATTTTGTTAGTAATTTATACAAAGGAACATGTTGTATGACATGTCAATCTGTTTTTGCGATAAATCAGTAGGATCCTTGGGCTCGTATTGAATTTGATACAGTGCCCATGCACAAAATATTGACAGTGACATGATTAAGCAATTTGAAATTTTAGTGACTCCAACATTATTGTTTATTGCTGATGTCTGATGGAGAACCTGAAATGACTGCAAACTTGATAAGCGGAGAGGGGAAGCTTGAGTGAGAGTGCATGTTATATGTGTTTTGTGTTATGTCTCATAGTCCTGTTTGTAGGTTGTTGTTTGTTGTTTGTTTTTTTTCCTTACTTTGATTTGGTCTTTAAATGAAAGAAAGAAGTTACCGATATTTTTAGAGTATAAAATCTGTAAGGACTTACTACTTCTGAAAGAATGGCTGCATGTATTCCTTGGAAGTTGAATGTCTATGAACATTACATAAACTGGGAAAAAAAGCAGACCTTAGTCTGTTTGGACTTACCTTTTAGTGTCAACTTTAAAAACTGCAACATCTGTCAGTACTATTTCAGGAAGGTTTCTGTAATACACCGTATATTCTGTAATTAATTTATATGCCTTGGCTTAGTCTGTTAAAATTTGGGGGGAAAATACTTCAAAAATAAATAAATATTTGATTGGTGGCTTTGCTGAAATAGACAGTGGTGGGATGTGTCTTATTAAAGATGATATTTTTAAGAATTATTTTACTTCATGCTTTGATAGTACACAGCGTTCATAAAGTCATGTGAGCACAGAATCTTTGGAAAAAGAGAATTGTGCTTGCCTTAATACGTAAGAATTAACATATGAGGTCTTCTCAGTTATCCTTACCCTACTGATCACAAAAATGTAACAAGTGGCAGGTGGATGGCAAGCATGAAAAGGTTCCAGTGAAAAGAATATCCTTGAGGAAGGACAGCATCTATTAAACTGCGTTCTTGTGGGTAATGTTCAGTGTACTGAAATTATGCTGGTGGTGATGGAACACAGTTGCTGTAGTCAGCTTGAGTAAATAGAAAGGTTAATGTACATGTCTGGCTTGTTTTTACCACTTGTTGCTTTTTTTTACAGAATATCCTAGCAATGTTTTTCTTAATTTGGAAGTGTCTTATTTTTTCATAATGCTTCTGCTTTAGGTCCCGTTTCCCACTGATCTTTGCAGCATGAGGCAAGGAAATTCTTGTAAATAAGATGTTTCAATCTATACTTATGAATCCTCATCAAGAGACTATTCTTGTAATTAAGAATAACTGGATTGCTACTGCACAAGCATGGAAGTGGTCTTACATTATCGACCACATCAGAGAGATCTGACAGAACTGCACAAATTTGCAGAAGCGGCAGTGAAGGAGCTTCCCATTCGTCAGTTACCAAGATTCACACCCTGGTTTCCAAATGATTTGTACAGACTTCCGCTCAAACCCAAAAAGCAACCACCTGTTGTTTCTTCTGAAGAAGCAGAAGAATTGAAACAACTTACTACACCTTCAGAATGTATTGTAGAATCTCCTAGTTATGACTGCACAAAAAATCTCCTTGAATTTCGGTCTGATATGAATCACGGGCAGACTTTAACCCACACACAAAATGGCCGCAGGCAAATTAACTTGGAAAATCAAGGAGAACCACCATCTAATGAGAAACAGAAATTGAAAAGGTCTTGGAGTGTCTCTCTCTGTAGCCCTAAGCTTAAAGAAAAGATTCTTCCTCTATCTCAAGAACTTCAAAACAATTTGGAAAGACTTAAATTGCATGCATTTTATAGAGCAAAGTGGACAATTGAGCAGTCTAATTGTAATAACCAGAACTTGGAGGACATCTGGATAAAATTGAATAGACTGATCAAGCAGAACGAATTGCCATCTTGCAATGCTACTATCCAAAGATCTTTGGGACAGATATGGATTTTCTGTGATATACTATACTGTGAATATATTAGAAATATTCTTAGGGAAAAGCTGAGCCTTACTGATAAAATGAATTTGCTTGTACATAAATTTGGAATTATATTTAGTTTGTGATTGTAACATAGTTTTGTAACAATATTGTTGTCTGAAGTAGTTTCTGGTTAGCTTAGTTTTTAAGGAGCTTAAAATACACAAACTTCAGAACAGCTGATGAATTAATTAAGAGAAAATAACTGTTACTTTACTACAGTTTTCAAGTTGTAGTAGTGTATTTAAGTTTATTTTGTTGGGAAAATTGTGAATGGGTCAATGAAGATTAATACATTTGCCTCTCACATTCACTTATAACATGCATTTGTTTGATTTAGTACAGTATTGTATTTTTTCTCTTGTCCTTTGTCTAAAGGAAAAAATAATACTTCTGCACTTAATTTCTCCAGGATATTCCCTTTGGAATTTTGCTTGCTTTTCTTCATATAATAATGTTTGAATAATAATAGTTTATTGTGGACATTGTATACCTCTTTGTAGTTTAAAACGAAGGATATTGAACATTGACATGCATTTTTAAACTTTGGCTGAAAGCAGAATGTTCTGTATTATTATTTGGTGTATTTGTGGGATTTAATATTACTGCTTAGCAAAACTGATATGACAGATAACTAGTTGTTGCTATTAGTAGTAGAGCTTATGTAGCCAATTTACATCAGTGAAATTACTTCTCTGATCTTAAAGATAGTAGTAATGAAGTTACTTTGTACTGTCAGAATTTTTAGAGATACAATGTAGTAAGATGCAGAATGTTTTATTAAGTGTTAGAATCTGAGGAAAAAAGCAAGAGATAATCTGTAATACTACAAGAACAGAATACTTTAGTAGTCTCATTAAATACAATAATCTACATATCTTGATTTGTGCATTTTGACTTCACTCCATGGTGTTTATTTTTTAATTTTATTACTGTTATCTTTATTTTAAACTTGAGCTGTAACTCTTCCATGATAAGTAGTCTGTTCTAGTTAATAAGCTTATTGTAGATTTGAAGGCAATTAGGTAATTGTCTATAATACAACCCCACTATATTCTTTAAATAAACTTAGGACTTAACTAAGAAAACATTCCTTGGTGGTAGAAAGGCTTTGCAAAGAGATCATGACAAATGAGAGTGCTGGGCACTCACCAAGTGCCTGAGTTGTAATGAGCAAGTGCCAGTTTCTGTGCCTGGAGCATACAGAATTGTGGATGAGCAGCCCCCATAGAAAGGGGTTGTGCGTTGTGGCTGATGGCGAGTTAAACCATGAGGCAGCAGTTTGCCCTGACAGCCAGGAGTGGCATCCATGTCCTGGTGTGCAGTAGGCTCAGCACTGCCTGTGGGTGAGGGAGGGGTTGTCCTTTCTGTTCCGCACTGTGCAGCCTCACCTCCAGATCTGGGTGTGGTTTTCGCGCCACAATATATGGAGGACTTAAACCTATTGGAGAGTGTCCATGGAGGACTATGAAGATGGTAAAGGGACTGGAGGGCAGGGGGTATGAGGAGTGTCTGACGCCCCTGAGCGTGCTCAGTGCAGAGCAGAAGAGCGGAGGGGAGGCCTGATGGCAGCTGCAGCTCCTCACAGGTAGCGGAGGGCAGCGCTGAGCTCTGCTCTGTGTGACAGCGACAGGGCCTGAGGGAACGGCATGGAGCTGTGCCAGGGGAGGGCAGCTGGGGGTTGGAGACAGGGTGTGCACCAGAGGGCAGTGGGCAGTTAAGCAGGCTGCTCAGGATAGTGGTCATAGCAGCAGTCCCGCTCAAGGACCATCTGGCCAACACTCAGAGGCCGGGTTTGAATTTTGGATGTCCCTGTGTGGAGCTGGGGCTGGACCCTGTGACTTTTGTAGATCCTTTCCAACTTGATACTCTACAATCTGCCAAAACTTGGAACAGAGATCAGTGCCACTATTCAGTTGTAGTTGTCAGGTTTCTGCTGCTTTCTTTTAGCTGGCTTATGACCAATGATACTTACTATGCTTGATTACACCACAGCTGGAGAACTAAACAGTAGTAAATGAATGCAGCATTTAGTTTTTCTATAAAGCTATTTGTTTCGGGTAGGACCAGTGTAGAAGTGAAGTAAAAAAATTCTACTTTGAGCTATCTAGAACTGCTTTGTTCATACGCACGTGTGATTCAGTACCTTTTTCAGTTCCTATGTTGAATCCGCTTCTCTACTTACTCTGTTTTGTGTATTTTGAGGCTTTTTGTTTACCGCATGGTACAAAGCCTTTAGAGGTCATATTTTTAGTCTTTAAACACACAAAAGAGAATGATTTGAAGTTGTTGTTGTTTTACATTTGAAAACTAAGATTTGTTCATGTAAATACTAGCTTGTATAGGTTTACTGTATGATAGTATAAGTTAATGTGAACCAGCCCAGCCCACTACTATATGAAAGGAGTTGAATATTTTTATACAGTTGGAAATAGTGAATGCTGAGATGGTCTGTAAGTAGTACAATAAATGTGAAATTGCAGTGCGTGTTTCAGTGCGAGGTTGTTGTTTAACATCTTGTATTCAAAAGAAATATCATGATTTTTTATAAAATAAAATTTTAAGTTTTATGTAGAAGAAAAAGGAATCAGTGCACTTTACATATTCGGATCAAAATTTGAGATTGCAAATGCTAAACTTAAGTTTTATGTTGATGCATTCATATGAAGCAATAGGCAAGGTGTGGGCACTGATTTGTATTAGTAGGGAGTAAATTTGTAAGTTCAAGAATCTCAAATATATAGTGCAAATGAAAATCATGTGACCTTGAGTATTCTGAGTTACATGAAGTTAGAGAATCGCAGAATGGTTTGGATTGGAAGGAATCTTAAATATCACCTAGTTCCATTCCCCTGCCTTGAATAGGAAAACCTCCCACCAGACCAAGCTGCCCAGGAGCCCATTCAGCCTACACTGAACACCTCCAGAGATAAGCAGTCTGTGCCAACGCCTCACCATCCTCTGATTAAAGAACTTGCTCAGAATACCTAATCTGAATCTGCCTTTTTTTAGTTTGAAACCATTGCACAGTTTATCACTGCATTCCCTCATGGAGTTCCTCTTCAGTTTTCTTGTAGCTCCCCTTTGGGTACAAGAGGACTTCAGTCAGTTCTTCTTGGAGTCTTCTCCTCTCCAGGAGAGAAGAGCTCAATTCTCATCAACCTCAGCTCTCTCTTTCTATCTTCATAGAAGAAATACCATTGAAAACACAACCTTCTTGAAGTAGAGTTTTGTTTTTTTAATCAGAAGATCTTGATGATTTTGATTTTATTGGTATTGATGAAAGATTTTATAAGAAGATCCTGGAGTTTTTTGGCCCTTTTGCTATTGTATTGACAATCTTGGCTCCTTATTTCAATCTTGGCTCCTTAATTCTATGTATATCATATGTATATTGTGGAGATTAGGATGTAAATTGTGTTGTGTCCAGGTATTTATGGCTGCTAAAATCCAAATAAGTCGTCGTGTTCAATTCTGTGATATCTAGAGTCACAGAACAGACATCTAAGCAGACTTAGAATGGTCACACAGAACGAAGCTGGTACACTCCTTGTATCCACAAAACACATAGTACAACATTTTAGCAGAAAAGATATATTCAAATTTAAGATAAAAAATGGTAGACATTATTGTGTCAGAGAAAGCAAGAGGAACCATTTTCACCACCCGTGTGCTTGGATTAGAGTAGCAGGGAATTTATTCTGTTGAAAATGACCAGATGGGCTAAAAAGATCTTGACATCATTTGAGCTGAGATTTGATAGTGTTTTGTTTTCATTAGTTTTTTTTTAATGGAGTGCATGACAGAACTGTGCTTAAAACAAACAAATAAACTTGTCGATTGACCTATGGTTTATTTTCTGCTTTTGCAGTGATGAGGTTAACAAAGCCTACCTTATTCACTAATATTCCAGTGACTTGTGAAGAAAGAGATTTGCCAGGTATGTTTTATCTACTAACTGATCATTGTGCACTGTACAGTTAACAAATGTACAGTTAACAAATGTACAGTTAGAAGAGTGGTGTGCTTGGGATGGTATTTTACAAGTTTATAGTTAAAAAGATTATTGTGGTAGAAAGAGACAATCAAAAATAAATGGAATGCTCACCCTAGGCTCAAAGTATAAAACTCCGAAAGGAGGGATCTCCAGGAAAAGATCCTTCCTCAGTAGCAGTCAGCCCTTAAACAGGGTCTAGGAGAGGTGCAACCAGGCTCCATCCCTTCCAGTCACACAGCTGATTGCCTTCACTTGTGCTCCTTGGGCTGACTCAGTGCTTGTCTCAGGTAATCAGACAGTGGTTCAGGCCATGATTTAGCAGTTCCCTTACAGTAAACACATATTGCTAGGTTTAAGCAGTGCATCTAAGATTTATATGTGAAAAGAATTCTTCTGAACTTCTGTAGAAAGTAATCTGAAATGCTGCTATGTTTTGGTTGGTATTAGGTATAGGAAAATACCAAGATGCACTATGCAACTCTTCACCTAGAGCTTTGAAAACTTAGTGATTATATTGTGAACATACGAACTTGAAATCTGAGCACTTAAGACACTATCTCTACAGTTGTTACTGTGAGGTAGGGAGCATGCAGTTATTTTAACTGGGAAAGAATCTCTAACAGAGAAAAATATGTAATTGTAGAAAACAAAAGATTGTTGTTAATATTTTCTTTATCTGGAGAAAATGCTGCACTAATTATAATCAATATGTATGGGAACTGAACCTCTGATTGATCACCTGAAGCGAGCCATGAGTCAGCCACAGGAGCACAGGTGAAGGCAATTCACCTGTGCTGCTGGAAGGGGTGGAGCCTGGCTCCACCTCTCCTAGACCTATTTAAGAGCTGGCTACCAGGGGGAAAGGATCTCTTCTGGAGATTCATTGTGCTGGAGTTTTGTAAGTGAGCCCAGGATACGGGTTAGCTTTCTATCTATTCTCTTTTTGTTATCATAATCTGCTTTGCTGAACTCTCTTGTTTTTTTCGTAATTACCACATCTTAATATTCATTGATATATATTATACAACATATTGCAATGGAAACTGAATCACAGGAGAATCACATGATCGTATGCTTGGTGTATGGAGATGAAGTATTGCAAATTCCTGGATTACCCCTTAGTAGTAGTTGCAACTTAGATGTATAAGAAAAAGGGAAAGATCCAAGAAAAGAGACCTGTGAAGAAATGCAAGGCAGTCTGGAGAGAAGGTAAATGGGGCTAATCAATTCTTATGTTGTCGCAGTTCAGCAACCAGAGGCCTCTGTCATAGGAAAGTCCTTTATTATTCTTCTTCTACTACATCTACTATATTCACCCAACACAGCAGCACGCACACACACACACATATATATATATGATTACATATATCTTGGATACAAGTCTCAACAGTTTCAAGGCCTCCCTAAGCAACCATATCTAATCTTACGTCTTGTTTCTACGTCCAGTGTTTCTTCTTGATCAAAGCGTACAGTTCCCTATTGTAAGTGATCCCCACCCCTGACCACCACCTTAGCACAGCACAAGCAACAAACACGGTAACTAAGCAGACCTTGCTTTTGCCGTTTAGGCCTGTGAAGCTCATGGCTTCATGGAAGTTAGGCTAACTGTGGATCCCCACGGGGATGGACCCCCAGCAAGCTCCACATAGTCACAGATCACACAGAATCACCCGGGTTGGAAGGGACCTCAAGGATCATGTAGTTCCAACCCCCCTGCCTAGCAGGGCCACCAAACTTACACATTCAGATCAGGTTGCCCAGGACCCCGTCCAACCTGGCCTTGAACACGTCCAAGGACGGGGCATCCACAACCTCCCTGGGCAGCCCGTTCCAGGGCCTAACCACTCTCCTTGTAAAGAAAAGTCCCCTTCATTACATGGCGTGCTCTATTTAGGCAGAATATCCTTTAAGATTTAATTATAATTTGAGAATGCCTTTGAGATTGTGCTGTTCAGTGTAATTGTAAAAGCCTTAACTTATAAACAAGCATATATATGTGTGTTTTGTCCCTAAGTAAGTTGGTTGTAAAACAAGTATATTTAGCATAAATTGAGAAGAAAAAAAGAAATGTCATATCCTAAATGCAGACGAAGCCTTTGACTTGGCTAGTACTAAGATGTATGCAATTTGATGTTCTACAGGTAATCTATTTCACCAGCTCATGAAAGATGATCCTTCTACTGTAAAAGGAGCAGAAGCTTTGATGCTAGGAGAAATGCTGACTTTGCCTCAAAATTTTGGGTAATGTATATTAAGTATATTATATTAAGTTCTGGGATTCGTTTAACATTTCTTACTTGCCTTTCTATGCAATAAAATATTCAATTATTTTAAAACCATTCTGTGACTCGATTTTGAATGTGATGTAATATATAAATGTATATTGCTTAATGTTGTGTATAGCCTGATTGAATGTATCAGGAACAGTAAGTTGAAAGAAATTTTGGTAAAGTCCTGGTGTAAAATGCTGCTATAAACCACAGCTTATGCTTATAGATTTTATTGCAGTGTCTTCTGTGTGTTGTAGTGTTGTCTATTATTTTGTACGTAGTATTGTCTTTGTATTCTTATCTTGTAAAACTTTTGATTGTCTTAT